GGGGGGGGAGAGAGAAGTAATACGGTTTCCTGATAAAGCTGTGGAGAGTATGTGCTGCAGGGAGGTGGATGCACAACGCACCCAGGAACGAACGCTAGCTTTTACTGTGGACTCGATGTCCTGACAGGCTGGTATTTGTGCAACCTGCACAAACACAATACTGCACCATGATTACAAATGGTGAAATACAATGTAAAACTACCGAAAAATACCAGCTCACTAAAACACAACCGCTCTACTCAACGCAACTCTACTATACCCGCGGTCAGAGAGCGGAGATGTGTCCCCTGTGTGATGTAATATGACACGTTTGACGTATGACCTTAAAGAAAAAGCCGTTTTTAAGAGCAGAGCTCAAAATTGCTCCTTTCCCTCTGAATTCCTGCCCTTATGTCTCGTAAAACATATCAAATCCTGCATTCACTTTTTTAATTGTAATTTTCAAGCAAGTTTAAGCATAAATGTAGAAAAAATAAAAACCTGCAAGATGCTCTTTAACATTATTTATACATTTGGAGTTTCATGCTACTTTTTAACTTAATATTCATTCACATGGAAACCATTCATTCATCCAAATATTCCTGATTATTCACTTTCTTCTTACACAATATATTTCAGCATAAAGCATTCCCACTAGCAATTTCTTCAGGAATTGCATTCTCTAGTTTGTCTCTAAGACTCCAGGGAGCCCCAACAACTCCAGGTGTATTTATTTTTCAGATTTTAATTTTTCAAAAGGCCTCTGGAGATAATCCAGCCATGTTTACAAGTTTTTTTTATGTGGAACAGTTTGTTGTTTCACACAAAATAGTCAGCTGTTGGAACCAGCATGAAACAAAGAGGCAAAAAGCTGAATATTGAAAGCTCATAGAGAGTTGTATTTATTTTACTTATTTATTTATTCATCAGTCCTTCGTCCTAGATACATACTAAAATCCAAAATGTATTCTTGTTGTACTATTGTAACCCGGCATACCCCAACAGACTTCAGTCAAATGGTGGAACTGGAACATTACAATTTCAAATTAAAAACACTTTGTCAAGACTTGATTTATTTGTTGCTGAACAGGAAGAAAACTTGCACATTCAGTACTTCTCATGCAGATGCATCATAGACGAGTTATTGAGCTGTTGCCTGAGCCATCACAGCCTGTCCAATGCCATCTCACTTTAATCAGCTTCAAACAGCTCCTTTACAATATCTAGTCTACATTGGGTTGTAGAAAAACAGAGTCCATCAACACTACAGCAAAAACAGAGTAATTTTATTATGCATGCTTGCATTTTCAATCACTTTTGTCCCTGAGTCATCACAATAACAAAGGCATGCTTGAAATCACAGTCTGGTATGTAACACTGCTGCAACGCCGGATGCCTCAGCTCAGCTTCTACTGTGCAGCATGTTAAAGATTTTCACGCCACATATTTCCTGGGGTAAAGTCTTCTACAGAGGACACAAACCTTTCTGAACCAGTTTATTATCTCAGTGAGTGTGACCTTGATCTGTGGATCCTTATCTCGAGTCACGCAACATTTGTAAAGGCCCATTGAATCATGTCAGTCATTTCAATATCATGCCTCCCTCTCCTGCGGTTTTAGTTGAGTTTTAGGACGAGCCCAGATAATTGGATTTTCTAACCTCAGACTGTTGGCACTGGCATAGGTTTAGGGGGGAAATTAAAATCTTCCCTGTGTAGTGACTCAATATAAAAACAATCCCCCCCTCCCCCCTCACTCGTGAAGTGTGCTGGACATGCATAGAAAAGCAATTAACCCACTGCAGGAATTGATTTGGTCCACTCAAGCTTATCTCTTTTGGCATGTCCAGGCTTTTACATACCCGATGGGAAGATCAAAGGTTTTTCTTGTCTCAAAACCTGACAACATCCTCGGATTAGCACTGATTTTAATCTTCACCGAGCAATTACCTACTATGGTAATCAATGCAGGGCTGCTGTCGTTAATAGTCTGTGGTATCGCTTCCTCTGCAGCCTGTACAAATTGCAGTGATTCATCACCGCGCCGCACTGCCAGCAATGCAGAATCCACTCAAACTGTACTGTACTCACATTGTTGCTACTGCTCACTACCTCTCAGAGCACCGGTGGAGAGGTGTCACAGAGACCTTGAAGTCTTTTAAAGGTCACCTATTATGCAAAATCCACTTTTTCATGTATTTTATGCATAAACCTGTGTTGTAAAGGGATTCTGAAATGTTCAGGAAAAAAGATTCTCTGATCAGATTTTGGCCGCTTTATGATGTCATAACGATTTGTTGGCTTGTGTAACTATTAGCCAATCACCAACCAAGGTAACCCCCACCTCCCCCCCACCTTATCACCTGCATTTCCTCCTAGAGCACCATTGTGTTCTTTTTAACCAAATATCTCTCAGAGGGGAGTGGCTCCTTATTTTCATCTAAAGTAACAGACAGAGAATCAGCACTTTTGAAACAGGGCTGAAACAAGGGGATTATGGGATGCTACAATGATCTGTTTTGTATTTTCGAGACATGTTTTGTATATATCTGAGACATATATACTAGACCCTCCAGAAAAACGCGATTCTGCGATCGCAGAATTTACTGCATAATCAGCAAAATGGCGCAGATTTTTAAAAGGCCGCATATTTTCTAAAGTAACAGACAGAGAATCAGCACTTTTGAAACAGGGCTGAAACAGAGGGGATTATGGGATGCTACAATGATCTGTTTTGTATTTTGAGCCAAACACTTCAGAGACATGTTTTGTATATATCTGAGACCTATAATATATTGATGAAAAAGAGTATAATAGGAGAGCTTTAAATAGGATTTATCAGTGGGTATCAGTGTTATGGATATGGTTAAGAAGGGGCCTACTTCACCTACTGTGCAAACATGCATATTGATATTTTGCCTGGTAGGTGCAGTTTAGCAATATAGGTGAAATCAACTGATAATGGTTATTAAATAGGCTGATATAAGAACACACTAACCCGTATCTTATAGCGCTCTCTGATCCCAACTCGCATGGCAAAAGTGGATCCTGGCAGCAGAGGAATACACAGACACTCGCCATAATGGTGAGCTAAACTCAGGTCCAAACAGCACGGCACCAGAGCCCCGAGGACACCTGCAAGCATAGATTAGCACAATATGTGTTAGTGAGGGTCCTTTGTGTGTTTGCTTGTGACAGAGAAAAATCCGTTTTAAAGGTCCCCTATTTTTATACTGTTTTTCATCAATATATTTAGGTCTCAGATATATACAAACATGTCTCTGAAGTGTTTGGCTGGAAATACCAAACAGATAATGCATTGTAGCATCCCATAATCCCCTATGTTTCAGACCTGTTTCCAAAGTGCTGATTCTCTGTCTGTTACTTTAGATTAAAAATATGGAGCCACTCCCGACGCCCCTCTGAGAGACATTTGAATAAAAAGAACACCGTGGTGCTCTAGGAGGAGATTCAGGTGATAAGGTGGTTGATAAGGTGGTTCAACCTAGGTTGGTTATTGGCTAATGGTTACACAAGCCAAATAATCGTTATGACATCATAAAGTGGCCAAAATCTGATCAGCTCAATTTCAGGCAGGTTTTTATATAAATGGAACAGGACAAAAAGTGAGCAAATATTTTTTCCTGAAACTTTCAGAATCTCTTTTCACAGAGGGGACACATTTTTATGTATAAAATACATGAAAAAGTGGATTTTGCATAATAGGTGACCTTTAAAAGAAATGTGAGACAAAACTAAGAGTGAATTAATTGTGATTTGTTGGTTCCCAATTGCTGAGAAAGTCGTAAAGCTCTGACCCGTGTGTAGGACCCTGCGTATGAGAATACAGCTTCTGTCTGTGTTTTCACTTTACATGTAGTCTTGTCTCCACAGACGTCGAACAGGTCGGTGCTCCAGCCCCCACCCGTCTGTGTGATGGTGGTGATGGTTGTCGTGGTAATGCCGAGGCCGGGCTGTGTGAGTATTGGGTCTGTAAATGCATAGATATTGCTTGACTCCAAGTCATCTTGACTTCCTGTGGTGAAGCCCCCCTCTTCCTCCTCTTGAATCGCTGATGCGTCTGTGACGGAGAGCCTCGGTCTGAAATTCGATTTTGACATGTCTTTAGATAGATGTTCGAACAATGTCCCCCCAGCTTATCAAGCCTTTAACTGTTGCTAAACCAAAGACTCAATGTTAGTCCCAAAGTAAAACATTTTTACTTACCTGTGAGCAGAAATGTTATGTCACTCATTCAGCCAGTTTAATTTTCTTAGAGGAGCAATTCATTTTATTCAGCTGGCTTTCTTTAAAAACGTTCAGCAGCATGGCCCCACAATTTTACTCGAATGCCACTGATATTATCGTACCACTTTATATGATACAGCATTTATTCATGAATTTGGGTGATTAAGGCCTTCAGCAACACTTCAATCACTGCACATTTTTAAGTTTGTGGAAATAATAGATTAAAGAAATGTTTCTGTTTAGTTAGAAGCATGTAAAAGCAGAGTAAGTGAGCTGTTTGCTGTAATTCCATTGAGGTCAGTGATGACAACACAGTGTGCTAGTAAGGGCAACAAAAAAAATACACTTACTGGTGTGTGACTGTCGTCTGCTCCATGACTAAAAGCTCCTGGCATTCAGAGAGGGGAGAGGCGAGGAGGCGAGAAAGGAGAGGGTGAGCAGGGAGTCAGCAGGAATGAGGAGGAGGAGGGGGCTGCGGAGTGACACTTCCCCAGTGAGAGGGTGTGTGGCTCCAGATAAACCAGCTGTCGGATGGCTCGGCCAGAAGCTGTGTGAGAGAGATAAGTCTTGTAGTTGTCTCCCGTCTGCGACTTTAACTCGCCCGCCTGCTAATACAGCTAATGCCAAAAGGGCAGATAGACATCAGGGTGCATGAACACACACGTGTGGCACTGTATTATCAGATGTAAAATGCATTCATGAACATAAAATAAACACACCAGCAGAATATGCCGAAAACATTGAAAAAAAGTACCATGATTACTTACAACATAAGAAATTTGACATAAGCACATTTTGTTATGGATGTCCAACATTATCACAAACTCATTAAGCAATTCAAACTGTTTGTTTGACCTATAGATTTAAAAACATTGTTTTAATTAAATATATCTAAAAAGGCATACGGTTACACTTACCTTTAAGTCAGACAGAGACTCATGCAGTGAAGAGCTGAGAAGTGAAAGACGTGTTGAACGCAGAAGTGATTTTGTGTGTGTGTGTGTGACTTTGTGTGTGTGTGTGTGTGTGTGTGTGTGTGTGTGTGTGTGTGAGAAACAGAAAGAGAGAAGTGAGGGGAGATTTACGTGGTGTAAGGACACGTAGTGAAACTATTTTCTAGAAATAGGTGTCTGGGGAGGCACAGAGAGTTTACTCACATATTGAGTGGTTTAGGAGAAACATTCAGTAAATTAAATGTGGATGCTTTTATCTCATCTATTTCAGAAAGATTAAAATGTATGAGTGACATGTTTGAGTATAGCCTACTATGCATCACAGAAAGTAAGCAGCCATAAACAATAGGCTACATGATTAAAGTTTTATTGGATCTTTGAAATGTAAGGGAAGCTTTTCTTAAATGTTTTATTATTGGCAGTTATTTAGTGATCCATTTGATGATCACTCTTTTGAGCTACAATTTAAAAAAAAAAGGTATTTAGTCAAATTTGTAACTTAAATGCAAAAATGAACGATCACATTTACACACATCAAACTGCAGTGGTGGACGATTACATTAACTTAAGTAGGCTACTCTTTACTTGAGTTAATGGTTTAGTATATTATAGTATTTTTGATGCCGATACATTTGTAGTTTAACTTAAGATTCGGAATGCAGGACTTTTACTTGCGACAAAGTACTTTTGTGAAATGTAGTGCTTCTACTTAAGTGTCAAATCTGAGTCTAGTAGGCCTACTCCTTCCACCACTGAAACATGCATGAATTCACTTACCTGCAAGTTGAGCTCTAACAAGCAACATGTTTTACACGAACCATGTCAGTCTTCAACATTTGGTTTGAACTCTCAGCCCGATTAAAGAAAAGGCTTAAACGTTAAACACGCGCATATTTTCCTGCCGTAGTAAACTCGTAGATTTGTTGATGTCCCGGATCAGTTGCCCAGCAACAACTTGAGACCGACCGAGATGCTGGTCGAAAAATATCGCGTTATTTCGTTCAATTAATCCATGTTTTTATACTTCTGGTTTTGCACGGATTAAAACACACTATTTAGAGGGTATTACTTTTTTCATTTGAGAGATGCGGGTAGGCAGGTTAGCTGTTTCGAAATTCCAATGCAGACTTTATATCCAGTCAGCTTAGCAGCTAGTGCTTACACCACCAAACATGTGGATAGCATCAATCTTCTCATCTAATAGGCTACTCAGCAAAGCCAATACGTTTATCTGCCTCACTGATGTATTTTATCCTTGAGTTTCTTGACCCAAACAGCTTTGCTAATATTTGTATTCAACTGGAGAAGTTATTGGCCACATCTGTTTAAGATTGCGTGTTGGGGTTATTTATACTGCATTCTACAAGATTATTCACACTTTTTTTTATTGATTATTCACACACGTGGCCACGATCCAATGGCTTCACCAGATGCATGACACATGTCATATTCTAACAGAACTATTATGTTCTTGAAAAATACAAAACAGCACAAAGAAGATAACTATAAACAATGAACACTGAGGCTGAATGTTTCATAGGTTTTATTATTTCTCTGGAAAGCAAGAGTGAGATAAACACCATCCACCACTAGAACATTGGAAAGCTGTGTGACAGGTTGACAGAACATGAGGGAATGATATGCCTCAATGTCAATTTATAAAATAACACAGCAGACGCATTACCATCTATACGAAAATAACAGGCATTCAGGAGCATGTGGGAGCAGTCTCACGATGTAATAAGATACAAGTGGATGGCCATGGCATGATAGTACACGGTAGTATGATTGCTCAGCATCTTCAGAAAAAACTCCTGTTGTATTTCATTATAAAGATAGTTGATCACTTATTGTCAGTCATATAAACATGACAGAGAATGGCCTACAGAGAGAAATATGACGAAATGCACCTTGAACCAACAATGAAAAGACGGAACAGAACACAAATTCTGGTGTTAATCTCCCATATCAAATCCGAATGTAAAGTAACCGTATGTGTTCCTGTTAAGCGAAGTTTTAAGGTCCCATTGGTTTAGGATAATTCCTTAGGTCACATTCAGCAGTGAAAAGGTTCAAACTATGAACATCTTTGTATCTGTGAAACCAAACACCACTTGCATCTAGCAAATGATACAGTACAGAAACATGAATAATGAAACATACATAGGCTATATGTTTGAGTCAGTGTTTTATGGCTTACCCATTTTGTGGCAACATTTCCTGATGCCTTTAAACCTTTAACAAATCATTCACTGCTGAATGTGCCTGTATGTGTTTGGGAGAGAGTGAATGTGACTTTAATTAACCAGATAAATCAGAGAGTCTCCGATGTCAACAGTCAGGCCATTGTCAGCGAGAGTGACCTTTTTCTCCTGCAGATTTACATTGAACACTGATTTGTTGGAGACGGGCAGCTTGCCCTGCTCCTCTCGTCCCAGGATGGGCACCTGGCGGGGACCCTGCACCGGATCCTCGTACCTCATCAACTTGACTCTGGACAGGTCTGTTGGAGGGGAGAGGGAGACACATGGGAGGTAGGAAATTAGTTCAGAGAATGTTGAAGTTGAGCAGGGGAATTGATTTTATAATAAGAGCAGAGAGGGAAGATGAGGGAGAAAAGGGAGTGGGGAGGATGGAGCGAGAGGTAAGAAGTTATAGGCAGAAAGGAGCGGTGTGAAGTAGCTATAAAGAAAATTGGACATTGAACTGCTCTTACATAAAATAATGCACTTCAAAATGATTTTATTCTCAAATTTGCCAGCATCATATTGCGTTACAAGAATGTGACGAATGTAAGGACAGATGGTCTGATAACCACAAATCATAATTCCTACAGCCACCACTTTCGCCTGAGGCACTTTCACTTCATCAGGCAGTACAGACACAAGAAGAACTGATTCAATGTATTTAATAGTGTTCTTCTGGCCCTCTCTAGTTGTTACGCAGATGGGTTCCAAACCATCGTCTATGAATTTCTGCTGTATATCCTTTCATCGTACTAACCTTTGATGAGTCTGTTGACCTTGGCTAGCCTGCGGATGATGCTGTCTCCACTGTCGCCCTGCCGGATTTCAACCTTTGTAGAAAACTGTCCGTTGAATGGCTGAGGGTTGACCAGGGACACACACACTCCAGGCTGTGGAAATGGAAACAAGACGTATTCATGAAACACACATTGTTGTCGATTTGAGGCAAAAAGAAAACATTTTGTTTATAAATATCACACACACACTACAAACATATTGTATCTATGCAAACACAGAAAAGTGCAGGTCCTTGACTAAAAGGACATCTTCATGTTCTCCAAAACACACTCACTGCATCCTTCTTTGAGAAACACCAGCACAGCTTATAGCATTTACCTCTGATCTGAAAATACAGAATGGTTTCCCTGGGCAACAGTCCTCCTTCACTTTGTCGTCACCCTCGGTTGCAAACAAGACGTCGATCTGTTCCAGCTTTAGAGGATATGAAAAAGAGGGATTATCAGCTAATCAGTCCACCACCAGAGTGTGTATAGAGGTGTGTTTGATATGCACACTGAGAGGGCTGTTAGCCAGACCCCTGCATAGATCAGAGAAGTAACACCTGGTTTTAAACTGAATTGTTGCATTTTCGCTATTGGGGATGCAAAAATAACAAATAGCCCAGAAAACGTTCAAAACAACACAAACCACTGGCTATCCAACAGCTACTTTTACACCCATTTGTTTACGAAATTATGGATTAATTATCACAGAGGTAGTCCTTAGTAAGTAACATCCCCCTTTTACATCCTACATGATTTCTCTATATTTGTCTATCTGTGTGGCAGCTTATCTTTAGCAGTTATCTGGCTTCACAAAAGTATCCTAGGGACTTGGCTTTTACTTATCGACCATCCAAAGTGTTTGTGCAGACAAAAGTATAAAGGGCTTTCCTGACTGACAACTGAGCTCAGAATTGTCTCAACCTACTTTTGCAGAAGTGGTAGAACTTGGCTTTAAAGCTGAGATATTGTTGAGGGAATCAAAATGCTACAAAACCTGCTAAAGAGAACTTCTTCTGTTTACTACTCAGCTTTGAGAGAATAGTTAAATATATTAAACCGCTAGGGCTGACTTCTGCTAAATTCGTTTTTTTTTTAAGGGCAGTTTCTGACTAAAACATCTAGTTCCCTTAGGTGTGTTCTTGGCTGGGATTTTTTTTTTCAGCAAGGTCATCCTCAATATCAAGTCTGAGTGTTCGGTAGCAATTCATACCTCTAGAGAATTGGTTAAGTAGACCAGATTTTCCATCACAACTGTCCGCTCATCAAACTCCAGCTCCAGATCCAAGACCCTGGGCCCGTTCTTCTCCAGGTTCTCCTAAAGAACACAAAGTAGAACCCAAAATCATCAGATGAACCCAACAGTAAAAGCATGACTGATGGACCGTTCGTATGGGAACAAGTCAAATCAATCAATGTGTAAAATGGCGAACAAGAACAGTGATACAAAGAAATACAGATGCTCAACTTAGCTGTTGTTGACACAACAAATGGCAAATAAACAAAAGGAAAAAGCTGAGACAACCTGTACAAATGTGGCTTTTGTACTCTTTCAATCAATAAAAACGTATTCTAGATATTTCTATGAAAAAGCAATATAACACTGTTGTTCAAACAGCATTGGATACAGTCTTGCACAAAGAAGAAGAATAAAAAAACAAAACATCTTTAAAAGATGCAGACTCCAATCTTCCAACAGAATGACCAGAACAG